AGTGTGCCCTGGGAACGACAGGGCCGTTTCTTTCTACCGGTCCGACGGGGCGGGGCGGGAGAGAGGTGTGGAGGGGCGGGAAGACGAGGGCGAACCAGCACAATCACCATGACAGCCACAAGAAGAACAAAAACAAAATCATCGGACGGCGGGGCGAGGGCGGGGCGGGCAGGCGGCTCAGTGTGCCCTGGAGACGACAGGGCCGTTTTTTTGACCGATTCCGTCCTGCCGGTTGTCTTTGCCGGCTCCGACGCCGTTTTTGTTACCGGTTCCGTCGCCGTGTTTTGACCGGTTCTGGCTCCGGTTCCAATCCTGGAGCCGTTTTTTTGCCGCTTCCGGTCGCCGTTGTTTTGCCGTCTCCATTTTCAAGGGGATTTTTTTCTGGAAGCGGTGAGAAAACGGCCCTGCCGTTTCCGGGGTCCACAAAGGTGACCTCAACGGGGGGGAAGAAGCGGGCCCTGCAGGGGGGCTCTTCAGAGGCTCATCACCCACCATCGCGTGGCCCTCTGAATTCGCCGCTGGGTTCTAACCTGTCTCTTTCATTCCTTCGCTGTGCATCAAGTTCTCCTTTGCTGTCCTCGCCGTCCCTCTTTGACTGAGTTGCTTTGGCGTGCTCCAGTGCAGTTACTGTCCATTCAGAAATCTGGCCATGCCATCGTCAACTTCGTCATGCAACGTTCCACCCATTGACTCTCGATCAACATTCAGAGAAGTGTTCGGGAATTGGGGCTGACTTTCGTCGGCGCGTTAAAAGCTTTTCGGTCCCCTCTCGGAGTTTCGCCCTGACTCCCTCGAATATCTTGAGCTGCTTCCCACCACCAGAACAAAGTTCTTACTCTCTTTCACGGATCCCGCTATATTGGTCACTTGTTCCATCGTGTTCATTTGAACATCGGCTTGGTCCTCTTGGTGCTCCATCCATATCTGCAATTTCTGCGTGTCCGTCCGTACACATATGTCGATTAATTCTTATCAGCAGTAAGTGACATCATCTCCAGGGTCGAGTAGTAGCCCATGACATTATTCATTCATGACGGTTCTTACCCCCGTTGCTGTCTGCCATTCGCTTGGCTCCCAATGCCACTTTCAAAAAACTGGAACCCCTGCCATTATAGGCCGCATCGCATAACTCAATGAAATGCGCGGTGTTCAGGTCACAACAATGATATGTGCCGTGGGGTGTGCCTGAATTCCTATAGGGGATCACCACCTGCAGCTGGAGCAACATCTGCGGCTGTTGCGGCTGCCATCAACTTCGCTCTGCTACCATGCAAATTCTGGAAAAGGAATTGCGCAATAACGGTATGTGTTTTTTTTTGCCAGCGGGCAAGAAGGAGTGGACCCCACAGGTTCAATACTTGAGCCAAGCGGCGTCGGTATCGACGCCCGCTCGACTCTCATGCTCAGCTATGCTTCTCACCCAGTCGTAGCGGCATGTCCTAACACCTCCTCCTCCTCCTCCTCCTCATTATCGTCCTCCTCCTCCTCCTCCTCCTCCTCCCTCCTCCCTCCTTCCCTACCTCCCTCCCCCCCTTCCTCCCCCCCTCCCTCCCTCACTCCCTGCTATTCCTCCCCCTCCTGCTCCTTGTCCTCCTCCTTGTTGCCATCGTCCTCCACCTCCTCCATCGCATCTATCCTCTCTCTCATCATTGCCTCTCTCTCTCTCTCGTTCCTCCCTCCTCACTCGTCCTTCCTCCCCTCCTCTCCTCCTTTTTGTTGCCCTCCTCCTCCACCTCCTGCATCTCATCTATCCTCCCTCATCGTTGACTCTCTTTCCCACTCCTCCCTCCTCCCTCACCCTTCCTCCCTTTCTCTGCTCCTTCCTCCCCTCCTCTCTGCCTCCCACCCTCTTGGCTCATTTCTACCCCTCCTCCCTCCTTCTCCTCCTCCTCCTGCTGCTGCTGCTGCTCCCCCTCCTTCTCATCCCCCCTCCTCCTCCTCCTCCTCCTCCTCCTCCTCCTCCTCCTCCTCCTCCTCCTGATCCCCCCATCTCATCCTTCCTCCTCCTCCTCCTCCTCCTCCTCCTCCTCCTCCTTCTGCTCCTCCCCCTTTTACGGACAGATGCAAAAGCATTATGATGGAAATCTTGCTGCTGCTGCTGCTGCTGAAGAGGAGGAGGAGGAGGAGGAGGAGGAAGAGGAGGAGGAGGAGGAGGAGGAGGAGGAGGAGGAGGAAGAGCAGGAGGAGGAGGAGGCGGAGAAGCCCTGGCGGATGGCAGAGAGAGGGGGTGGCCCCTCTAGAGGTCCTCGGAGGCCTCCGGAGGGCCGAACGGGCCCAGGAGCGCCCCTGGGCCTCGGTCCCCGAGGGGCGACGGGGAGCAGGGGGGGGGAGGGGTGGCAGTGCCCCAAGGAGCAGCGCATGCCCCCGAGGTGCGCCCGGGCTCGGCCGAAGGAGGCTGCAGGGGCATGGGCGGGCCACGGCCGAGGCCGGGCCGCGCCAAAGGGCCACGGGCCTGCGGAGGGGGCGCGCTCGCACCAGCAGCAGTGGCGCAACCAGCGTCCATAAGCGCAAGGAAGCCAGAACACACAGGGCAGCCTTAGGCGTCGAGCCTGGGCCGCCCTGGGCCAAGAAACGGCAAAAACAGGGGGGCGCCGGGGGGGGGGCCAAGACGAGGCGAGACACGACGCTGCAGTGCGCGCTGGGGCGAGGCCCCATTGAGAGCGCAGCGAGGATGGCCATGGCCCCTCAGATGTCGACGGAGTGTACGCTTCTTGCCAAGAGGGTCCAGCGAAATGGCCTCGCAGAGGGTGTGCAGGAGAAGGGTCCGACTGTGTATGGTAGTGGCTCTCGGGGGCGGGGGGACCAGGCACAGGGGAGGGCGAGGGAGGGCAGGAGACGGGAGGGAAGGGGGAGGGCTCGTCGAGGGGGCCGAGGAGGAGGACACGGGGGAAGGGTGAAAAGGGGCCGCCTGACCGCGGCGCGAGCGATGTGCCGAGCTCTGTCTGAAGCTGCCGGCTCGGGAGAGTGCAGGGCGGCATAAAAGGGGGAGGCGAGGCAGGGGGGGAGGACGGCGGGCAGGGACGGAGCCGCGAGCCGCGGGAGCACACCTCTGCGCCGCGCCGGCGAGCGCCGCTCTTCGCGCGGCCCCGCGCGCGCTGAGTGGGCGCGGGGAGCGCCGGGCGCGGGAGCTGCCGCCCGGCCGGGGGTGGGGCGGGGTGGCTGTCGGGAGCTGGCCATCTCAGGCGTTCCCCCGTCCCTCCCCCCTCGGCTCCTCCCTCCGTCCCTCCCTCCCTCCGTGCTCCCTCCTGGCTCCCTCCTTGCTCCCTCCCTCCTCCCTCGCTCCCTGCCTGCCGCCCTCCTCCGCCTCCCGCTTCGTCCTCCCAACACGCGCCTGCCTTGTCCTCGTGCTCCTCCTCGTCTCTCCTCCACATCGCTCCCTGTGCAGAGCGATGGTCAAATCGCTGCCTGCTGCAGCGCCTTCTGCAGAACTTGAGCCTGATTTCCCTCTTGATCTCCGCTACTTGCTCACGCAATGAGGCTTCGACACACCATACTGAAGGTCGACGGCGACGCCAGGGTACGTACAGCTAGCTGGGCGCAATGTGGTACTGAATGCATCAGTTGTGGACAAGGAGCTCAATCTGGACTGGACCTGTCATGCGAGACTCGGGAGGAATCTCGCAATGCACCGGAATGGAAAAAAGCTGCGCGAGAGGATCACGGACAGGCTGGACAAGAGCGCGACCAGACTACCCAACGGAAGACCAAAGGAAAACGCGCGCGTTGACACCGCCAAGGACGCAAAGGTTTAACAGAGGAGAAACTTGTGGAAACTTGCGACATTTATATGTCCGCTGGGGGGAGGAATGATGAAGAAGGGGGCGGCCCTGGCGAGGAAGTGCGAGCTCTATAAGAAGAGTGTCTTGAAAGCGCGTGTTTATTTTTCGCTGCACGCGGGGGGGAGGGGACACTGAGCCCGAAGCAGCTGGCGGACTGGTAGGATTCCCGCGGCCACAATCGCAGGCGTAGCCGCGACCAGAAGCCGCTCTTCACAACGGCACTGGGAAGCGAGGCGGGCCGCTGTGGCCCTGAGGCCGTTCAAACAGCCGCGGCCTCGGCCAAGCCCCTCGATGGTGGAGCCCTCGGTGCGCGCGTTGGAAGAGCCCCCGCATCCTGGAGCAGGCCCCGCTCTGGCCCTCGTTCTGGCCCGCACCCGCCCTGGCGCCGCGTGCCGGGGCGGGCGGGGTGGGCATTCCTTTGGGCAGCTGCACCGCGAACCTGTCTTCCGACCCCCCTCTTGCTTTGGCTCAGCTCCCTTCCCCGTTTGAGCGTGCGTCGCTGAGCTCCGGGCTGGACCTGAACGTGGTGTTTCGTTTCGCTGTTTTTTGGTGTTTCGTTTCGTCCTGCCTGCTTTCCTGTACTGCACCTCCCTGCCTAGACGAACAAAACGAAGCACAGCCGGTGTCCAGCAACACAGCGCTCAGGCCCAGCCCTGGCTGAGCTCGGCTGCCCCAGAGCGCAAGGAGGCAACCCGTGACGCGCCGACACGGCCCTCAGCGCGCAGATTGACGCACGCACGCTCGGCGCGGCACGCTCGCCTTAAGTCAGGCATGTCCCCCTGCAGGGGGATTTTCGACGAGAAAGAACAGATACCCAAACATTACTCAAACAAATGGTCAAGAATACGGACAAAATCGTCCCCAGACTATTTTTTGACTGTTTTTGAATATTCCCCCCGTGGACTATTTTTGAATATACCCCCCGGACTATTACTAACTATTTTTGATATTTTTTGACTATTTTTGAATGCTCCCCCTGTAGAGGGACAGGCCCGACTGGACGTTCGCGCGGGCGCGTGGGCCACCACGCGCGGAACCGACACAGCAGCGTGGCGACACGGAGGCTCTGCTCACGGTAGGCTTCTTGCTCGGCTCCGGCGCAATGCAACACGGACGCTTTGATCACGGAAGCTTTTGTTTGGTTTTGTTTTGCTTTGTTTGGCAACACGGACGCTTTGATCACGGTTATGCTTTGATCACGGTATGCTTTTTATTTGGTTA